TGATATAGGCGCTGTTGCCAATATGTGAATTGGAAACAAATCCCTTTAAAAATTAAAACCCAACATTTGAAACATCAATTTGAATACTTTTCGAAGTTAATTTGAAAAACTCATGAATTAAACTCAACTTTATTTTGTTCAAAATGGCATTTGCTGTAATAACCCAAATTGAGGAACATTCCCCATTACCTTTTCATCACTGTTTCTCTGTTTATCCGTACCGCTAATTTTCGGAGTCTGAAATTTTGTAAGTAGGTTCATTTTTTGTTGTTTGTGTGCAATAACAAAGAATTTTTGAATATTCCATCTGAGGCGCGGAGCCGGGACGGTTTGCTAGTTCATTATATGTCTGTCAGTGTACTTTGTGAATGTGACGTTGTACATCCATTTTGCTGTTTATGTTAAGTCTCTTATTTTTCCAGAACTGAGGTGAATGCACCAGTGAATTACCATTCGAGGCAATCTGTTGTTACTAAAGTCTATTTTTCTGTCAACCAGCTGTCGCCCACCTAGGCACTACTTCTATTCTGTTTTAAAAAATATGTTTTTTCGTTAACCAACTGTTGCCCCCTAAACTTGTGCGAGGTAAGTTACGAGCTCTTGAATTTTAACGTGTGATTCCTAGCACGGGTTGAACGATGGCATGTGAAAATCGATCGTCCGGTCTTGCGGTTCGAACCACCGGTTCACACAGCGGTCTATTAGTGAGGAGCGAAGCATTCACGCCAACCCTACTGATCACCGACCTACCTGTAATAATATGAAGTTGCATTATTTAAAACTCAACGGAATACACCGGTTAATAACTAACGAATTATATTCATTGACCGAAATCAAACCAATGAATATCCTATTGAGTNCCAATGAATATCCAAAATAACTTTATTATTTAACAACTCAAAAAATTATCAGAATGAGGTAGGCTTTCGAATTATAAATATTTACTTAGGAACGCCATCCTGTTTTGACTCTTGTGGATACCAAATCTGGTCACCTTTTTTTTTGTTTTCCGTTCAATTCCAATGTTGTGGAACATTATGGATAATATTCATACTTGACTATCGCAAATTCGTTTTTCTTTACCTTTTTTCAAAACTATATAAAGTGTTTCCTGTTCAATGTTATAATGCTTAATCTGAAGTACCCGGGTCTGAAAACGTTTCAGAATACCATATTTCTTTTTTTGAATATTTCTTGCATCAAAATCTCCTGCTTTTTTATTGCTCTTGCAACTTTTCTACAGTTTTTACTCGTTCCAATACTGGAATTGACTTTTTCCAGATACCATCAGGAACAGGTGTTAATCTGGAAACTGAAGATTATTCAACGTTGGCAATTTTTCAACCATTATTTTCATTACAGTACTGCAAAGATCTAGTATAGATCTTGAACCGATTTCAGTATTATTTTGAAATATGAAAAATGTATGTCTTGGCATGTAGTAATTCACTGAATTAAATATGTTACCCAATGAATTTGATAATACCTAATACAACATTCAAAATGCTGTCAAGTAGGTACTAAGTTCATCACATCTAAGGAAAGAAAACAAGGAAAAGGAAAGCGCATACAAGGCTTCTCCAATTATGTGAATTTTAATTGAGAATTCCGAAACTTCGTCGACGAACCAATGAATGACCTCTCAGTGACTAGGTTCCTCCTTGTTTAAATCATTTTACATAGAAATTATAACATTCTACCCTCAAAAACCGAGTAAACTAGGTGTCCTTCATAGAAATGCACCAAAACAGATGATTGAATAATTACATTTCTTCAAACAAAATCCGGATTTTGTTCTCTTCAATTGTGAAAACCTCGGTGGAAGCCTTGTGTCTTTAAATTGACAATTGAATTTGGTATGGTTTCAACAAGGAGAAATGGGATCTTACAAAATCATCTATTATTCAGAATCGGTCATTTACTAGTGCATGATCATCCACTGGTGCATCCACTAGTTATTAGCCAATAACTTTGAAAAGAAAACATTTTGCAATTTAATACCACTTCGGATATAATTAAATACTGTCAGAGTATACATTTTTTTTTCCTTCACAATGTGAAGTCTGATAATTGTCTAGATATAATTTCATTGTTTCTTGAGGTCCCAACGACATTTGATTCGGTAATATTTTGTTTTGTCGTATTAGATGGCTTCGGTTGGGGAGTGTGTGATATATTTGACCGTACGGATCCTCTTGAAGATCCCGCTGATCGCGTTTGTGCGTACTTCCTATGTATTTTAAATGTACATCCGTCCCCTTTAGTAGTAAACACAGGAACTAACCACAGTATCCATTTATCCCCTAAAACATCACAAATATTTTCATATACACCGAGATCGAAAGTTACATGGCGGTACAAAAAATAGATCGGCTGCAGTGCATCCAGTGTGGTTTGATTTTTGCACAACTGACTTAAGTGATAAACAAAAAATATACCAATGATGGAACCAACAATAGCAGCTATAATGAAACCAACGACGAGAGGGAGAAGTCGTGTAGCCTCAACATTTCCCCAGTAACTTACAAAATGTTCTAAGGTTGTACCTATGAAGAAAATACAATACACCGTACAGTAAAATAAACTCAACAAAAACACTTTTTGATTCGAGAATCCTATACAGTTTTTTAGCCACGGGCAGTGGTGGTCCATTTTCAATACACAAACACCACAGCTGGAACAGTGATGGGCTCGATCTGGCTTTATCTGATTACATATTTTGCAGAACCTGATGAAACCGTGAGCTGTCCTGGTTACTAAAAAAAAGTCCCTTCTGTCATAAATCCATAGCAAAACTGTGGGTTTTTCCTCTTCGCTACTTTCATTATAATAATTCGTTTCTTCTTCCGTCAGACGGTAATCTTCTGGGACTGGCGGGTTTGCAATAAACATTGTTAATAAAATCGACCACATCATCATTATGAAAAGAATGTTGAAAAATAGAAAATACAGTAAGTAATAAGTTGGACTGGTCAACACATTGGAACAAAATACTATTACGTAGATATGATAGGTCCCCGTTATCAAAGTAACTACAATAATAGGAAAAATATAATTTAGGTGACATTTGAAATACTTTGATGTCATTTTGACAGAATGTCATTTTGATAAGTAAATGACCTGCGAATGATTTGAATGGTTATTTGGATTCACCAGCAGTGGATCTGTGGTACTTCGCGTATTTTAGGATCTCGCCAGGGACTTCTGTACAATCATTTGCACGTATTTGTTTGTGTCGGGTAATGCGTATCACTAAAACTGATGTAAAGCTATGTGAAAAATAAAATTCAAGCAGTTCGAATTCATCATTTTGAGCCGTGAAGAACGGAATGTATTGATACACACAGGGTGTTATTAAGAACGCCCTATATGTATCACCGTTATTAAGAACATCGTCTACATTTTAGAAAAGCACAGGAACTGTTCGATTTTATCATTTTTCAACTCGAAGTAGGTAAATTATTAGCTTTTTTGTAATTTTGAAATAAATGTTTCATTGGAGGCCTCTTGCCTTTTGAATGGCTTATTCTGTAGAGACATAGCTGAACAAACGTAGGTCATTACAATTTCTTTGATTTTACATTTTCAACATATTGGTAATTGAAATGTTTTTGTGGTTTAAATTTTATATTAATACATAAAAACTGTGGGCACTTCATATTTCACAGTAAGTGAATTTTATATAGTACCTAATTATAATTTTTAACCGACCATGGCATTTGCAAGTGTATTTTTTAAATTTTCACCGAAATGAATATTTCTATCTAACGTCAATGCAAGCCAACCCTTTCTTAGTTGCCTTTCTGAGTGCTTTTTCACAATAATTTTTTTTTAATGGAATTGTATTTTTATAGATCCGCGTTTACATCTCCTTTAGCGGACCGCCAATTACCTCTGACAGTAAAGGATGAAAATTCTACCTGAAAATAATATATCAACCCGCTAAAACATTTTCCCGATTANAGCCAAAACAGACCGGAATAGACTGACTCTCTACTGAGTGCCTGGACACTCAGGAATCGCTGGCAATGAAAAAGACTGATATGTGAGCTAGACGGCTAGACAAGGACCATTAGCTCCATACATTGAGGATAACACATCAGTGTGGGTACTGAAAACGGGTACGAGATCAAATTAGGAAATAAGTCAATAAAAAGCATAAAGGAAATATATACTTGGAAACGCACTCCGAGTAACCTTTATAAAGGAGACGTCCAAAAAAATACTGAAGATAGGATTACCCCAGAATAATTACAGAGCTACTCATTGGGCATTGTCCGTTTTGAGGGCACCTGAACAAAATAGGGATGTACAACGGAGACCTTGACTGCAGACAGTGCAGTAAAGGAAGAAAGACAACTCGTCATGATTTACGCTAGTGTGACGCAATTCATCGCAGGAGGCAAATAATTTATGGACAACCCAACTTGAGGTCTGAAGAATATGGCAAACATCCAGGATATTCATCTTCTTGATATCACATCAAATGAATACATTATGGATAAACCTGTATATTATATTATTTTGAAATTCCGTCAATATATCTTCTAATGAAGTGAATATTATATATACACAATCAAAAATATGTAGACGATAATTGTGCAACAATGCCATTCAAAAAACCAGGACATTATGGATACTTTTGAAATCACACATATTTATATACTTCAAATATGTTAGAATACCGTGTGTTGGAATAAGTGTTGGCTTTACTTCTTCATCTTCAAACAAAAATTTGGGAAACTGAGCTTTTTCTCTCACTTTGTATCTGAAAAGAATTTCTGTACATGATCTACACATTTTTGCAGAGTTTATTCTGAAGTTAATATTTTTCCCTTCCGTGTTAGGAATCACACGTTAAAAGGTAAGACCTCGTTAGTCCTTAGCTCGTACAAGTTTCTCAACTTCTGAGAGCTGTCGTTCGTATGGGGGCGACAGCTGATTAACGGAAAAACAGATTGTAAACAGATTTTTCTCCGAAACTTTGTCACATTTTCCCAATGAAAATACTTTTCTCTTACACCAGAGTTACAGTACGACAAGAGTTTCACGAACCAAATTAGAATCATAAGGAGATGTGATGTGTAAATAGAGAAGATAAACGTTTTCTACCTTTGGTGAACATGGCTTTGATAAGAGGACAAAGCATTCTCATTTTTTTATGTTGCTGATCTTTCCTTCATATTATACAGCAATAATTATTATTTTTGTTTTGATTTCGTGTTCGCCTAAGTGTTTTCTTCAAGAACTCTCCAGACTGGCAGCCATTAGGGAATATATTTTTATCCCCTCGCGTTAATAACGTGCAATCGAATTTTAACAATCTAACATCATATCACTTAATAGCAGATGTTATCCTTAGAAAATGACGATATAAGCCGAATAGATTATACGTATGTATAAAGGCAATGTCTTTGTTGATAGTAGTGGTCTGACTTTAGGATATTAAAAAATAAGTAAGGAAAAATTTTTATGTTGAACGATTTTATTGAATAAAAAAAGATAATAATGATGTAGATAATGTACTAAAAATTAAAAAATTATTCGGAAATCTTAGGTAATTATTCGGAAAGTCTTAGGTAACAGTCATCATACCACTCTCTTCAGCAATGTACAGTATTGATCAGATAAAAAAATAATAAAATCATTGGGAGTAGCGTAACCCGAGTTAATATGTACATACTACGCTCAAGGATTTTATAATTTTTTTATCTTATCAATACCATAGATTGCTGAGGAGGATGATGTGATGACTGCTACCTAGGACCTTCCGAATTATTTTTTAGTTTTTAGTACATTATCTAATCATTATTATATTTTTTTATGAAACCGTTTAACGCTAACGACGTATCAGTTTTAGCCACCCTGCACCCATCTTGAATTTGCATCTTTTTCAAAGCGTAGTACTATTCTACTAGTCAAGCCCTGTCAGTTGATACCCATATTGAGGTAGTTGTGAAAAAAATATGTAATCCGCCATTTTGTATCCGCGGCCATCTTGGATTTACAATGATACAGAATTTATCAACTTGTATTGTCATCAAAACTTAATGTGTGAACCAAATATCAGATCAATCTGTCTTACTTCGCTTACAAAATTTGACACAAATAAGCAGGGCAGGCTAAATAAAAAGGTTTAAAAATAGATGTTATCTATAATAGGGAACCACTTTCAAACAAGCATTTACTCAAGATATTCGTAGCTACATTGTTGAAAACGTATGAGATGTTATAGTAGAGAATATTATATGTGTTATTCGGGATATACTCATATGATTAGCAAACCTTTCAATAACCTTGTATTTAGTCGCGAGATTATCGCTGGAATCAATAAATACTTCTTTCGTGACTTTTCAAAATTTTTTTGTATCCCAAACACGTTTTATTCAATGATATTTTATTTTTCACCAGCAAATTAATTCTATATCGTGCTTCTAATTCTAGAGTATGTCACAAAACTTGTAAAGGAAATTATGCGTCATACAAAAAAAAATAAAAAAAACATTTTTTTAGACGATCGTTTAGTCTAGACGCTGTACTGACTTTCTGAATATTTGCCAAATTCATCCATTTCTTTGAGATCAGTACATTAAATTAAAAAAACATATTCAAATGACTTGTAGGAAACGTTCTTTTTTTCACCACCAAGAGGAAGATAAAACTGAGTTTTATCTTCCTCACTTGGTGATCGAAACACGTGTCGAGATGTTAAAAATAACGATTTGGTGTCGGGAAAAAACTCCAGTAATATTCATTACCACAAACAGGTTCCAAACAGTACATCATAAGAAATTTATGGTTATACGGGGCGCTCCAAAAAGCGACTTAGAAATATTATCATATTTTCTAAGTATGTGCAAGAAACAGCGATATTTCAGCGATGCTTCATGACATTAATTTGGTCGATGCAAAATTATAATTCACAACTGATATGAATAAATAGTCAAAACAGGATTATAATGATAGAATCGTAGTGCCAAAGAATGCGGAAGCAGTTCCGTCATCTACTAGCAATATGTTTTTCTGGAATGAGTGCTGAATAATTTTCATTGACTCATCGAGAAGGAAAAACTATCAGCAGTATTACTGCGCGGACCTATGAAATCAAGAAAGACGATCTTATTGAATAAAAAATTATAAGTTCGGTGATACCACCGTATAGAAGTAAACACAAGTAAGTTCACTCTCCGCCATATTTGGGTCAAGATTCCCCACCTCGAATTTTATGCGCGGCCGAACTACAGCGCAACCGACTGAATCTGAGGTGTTTACCAAGCGAGTCAAATTGAGGCATGGAATATTATTACAGAGTGAGTCGTTGTAAGTGGTGGTTTTGTATTTGTGATAAATTTGTGTATCGTTTCAAAATGAGCAACTGTCGAGCTGTGGGTTGCTGTAATTTGCAGGGTGATGTCGCCATTCATTTTTTTTTCGATTTCCAATTGACGAAAAAAGGTATGTTTTTCTATTATTTATTATGTAAGATGGAAGTAATGAACATGTAACGAAAATCATAAAATAAATTATTATAGACCATATATAGAGGAGTGAATGAAAATCAATAACTTCAGTAATCTATATAAGGATTTCAACATTTGTTTCGAAGAAATGAGCATCAAGTCACACTTACACAATATAGGAAAGGATAGAATAGTTGGTTTTGAGGAATCATTTAACAAGAAAACTGCTTCTATAGCAGAATATGCCTTGGTAGTCATGGCAAAAGGCATACATTCGAACTGGAAACAGCCTGTTGCATACTTTTTTACCAATTCATCCACATCAATACTGGATATAAAAAGTAGTGTGATTGAAGCTGTTAGGCAGTTATCAAAAATTGGATTGGGAGTTTGGGGTATCATTTCAGATGTAGGTTCTAATTTTTATAAATTTGCCAGAAAAGATCTGGAAGTGACTGTAGAGCAGCCATATCTTTGTTGATGAGAAAAAAATATTTTACTTTTTTGATACTCCTCATTTGCTGAAAAGTAGCAGAAACCATTTTTGATGACTTTTTGAAATTTGATGAATATACAACGAACAAAATCATCTTGAACAACTTTACAA